TGCTTAAAACTCAACATTCAAAAATCTAAGACCATAGAATCTGATTCCATCCCTTCATGGCAAATAGATGGGGAAAAAGCGGAAATGGTGACAGATTTTATTTTCTCGGGTTCCAAAATTACTATGAATGGTGACTGCAGCCATGAAATTAAAAGACACTTGCTTCTTTGAAGAAAATCTATGACAAGCCTAGACTGAATATTAAAAAGCAGAGAATCACTTTGCCAACAAAGGTCGATATGGTCAAAGATATGGTTTTTCTGGGAGTCATGTATGAATGTGAGAGGTGGACCATAAAGAAGGCTGAGTGCTGAAGAAATGATGCTTAGACCTTGATTATGGGAAAGGTTGAGGGCAGGAGGAGAAGGGGGTAACAGAGTTTGAGATATCTGGATGGCATCGACTCAGTGGACATGAGTTTGAGCAAAGGAAATACTGAACGACAGAGAAGCCTGGTGTGTTGTAGTCCATAAGGCTGCAAAGAGTTGGACACTTAGCAGCTGAACAAAGAAGTAAGTATTAGAAAAATGTCAGGATGTGGAGGAATAAAAAAGACTGTTAGATGACAGCTACCTAGTGGCAAGTTCACAAATGCTGTAAACCAACGATAGTAATTCCTGGAGGAGGAAATGGCAACCCACTCCAGTATTCTTGCCTGGAAAATCCCTTGTCCAGAGGAACCTGGAATCCATAGGGTCACAGTCAGACACAACAGGGTGACTAAGCGCACAGTGGCAGTAGTTGTAGTGTTAACAGAATGTAGCAACACTAGCCTTACCTTTCTCTTCCAACTGACATTCATCGTTCCCAGAGCACATCTTTTTCTGAAGAGTAGAAGGAACCAAAAGAAATTAAATTTTGCTGGACACCTTAACATTATTAAGAGGATGTATAAAACAGTGATTAAGAACATGGGGACTGAGGTTATATATATCAGGGTTCCAATTCCAGCTTCATGACTTATTAGCCATAAAGTTTGGTAAGTAACTTAATCTCAGTGTCCTCATCTGCAAAATGGAATAATAATACCAACTTGGAAGCTTTCTGGACATTAAATAATATATCTAAAATCTGGAATGGACTAAAAAAAGAGGCTGATAAATGGTGGTTAACTTTATCTATTATGATCCCATTTCCCTGTCAAGAGCTTTACATACTTATCCCATCAATCCTATTAAATGGACATGATCTATTTAAAAAAAAATACAACAAAATTTAACTGAGTAAATTTGAAGATCTAATTGGCTTTATAAAATGATTCATGAATTGGACAGCATCTCATCTCGAAAACAAAGAGCTACTCGAAGAGGTTATACAGCAAAGAAGGTTTTTATAGTAAAGATGGCAGGACAAGGAAAAGACATTATTAGCAAAGAAAAAATAAAATTTCATTGCAGGACAGTAAAAGTTGAGATGATGCTGGCTCCTCACTGGCTGAGCTGTGGTGTTTTCCATTGGCTTGACTTGTTGGGCAAGAAGGAATTTATTCTTCCTCCCCTGGGGTAGTAAAGTAGTTGTACTTCCTGTTTGTGAGTGCAAATTACTTCCTGGGGTAAGTAACTGATTAGCTTCCTGTAGGGGTAATTGTCCTCTTCCTTTTTGGGGTAATTGACAATGAATGGTAGGGTGTGAGAGCTCCCTCCATAGACCTTTCAGACTGATTTTAGTTGAGATTTCCTTTTATTAACTTCAACACATACTTATGTTATTAATCCTATAAAATGGACATAATCCTTCCCATTCTATAGATGAAGAAATTGAAGTAAAAGAATTTGTGAGATAAAATAGGTATCATACTAGCTATATTGCAAATGAAGAAATGGAAGCATGGATTATTTAAATAACACCTGAGTGTTTCAAAGTAAAGCAATGTGGAGATAGGATCCAAAGTCATGTCTGTCTGACCTGATATTTGGCAATACTATATTAATTGTCTGGGGATTCCCTGGTGGTTCAGTGGTAAAGAATTCACCTGCCGGTGTGGGAGACACTGGTTTGATCCCTGGGTCAGGAAGATCTCCTGGAGAAAGAAATGTCAACCCACTTCAGTATTTTTGCCTGGGAAATCCCCTGGACAGAGGAGCCTGGAGGGCTACAGTCCATAGGGTCACAAAAGAGTGATACACAACTTAGTGACTAAATAACAACAACAACGTATTAGTTGTCACCCCTGACAGGTTGTCACGGTCATGGTGATATTTGTTATTTGCATTAATTTTTAAGAATCAATTTTCTTTACAAATGGGGATATCCCCATGACTCCTTTCAGTAAGGACCAGAGTCACAACATTTAGGGAAGAAGCAAGTGTTTCCAAATGATATTTTCTTAACTGGTTCTGTGCTTGTCAAAGCCATAGGCCATCCATTTTCCTCAGATTTCTTTTTAAATTTTATTTATTTATTTAGGCTGTGCTGGGTCTTCATTACTTTGTGTGGGTTTTCGCTAGTTGCAGCGAGCGGAGGCTATTCCTCATTGATGTGCTTGAGCTTCTCATTGCAGGGGCTTCTCTTTTTGTGGAGCACTAACTTTAGGAGCAGGGGCTTCAGTAGTTGCAGCATGCAAGCTCAGGAGTTGCAGCACATGGGCTCAGTAGTTGAGGCGGGTGTGCTCTAGGGTGGGCAGGCTTCAGTAGTTGTGACTCACGGGCCTTAAAGCACAGGCTCAGTGGTTGTGGCCCCCAGCTTTAGTTGCTCCAGTTCCTGTGGAGTCTTCCCAGTCCAGGGACCGAACCTGTGTCCCCTGCATTAGCAGGCGGATTCTTATCCACTGTGCCACCAGGAAGGTCCCTACTCCAATTTCTAATATAACACAAACAATCTATATGTGTTAGTATACTGTAATGGTCTTTATCTTCCTGGCTTACTTCGCTCTGTATAATAGGCTCCAGTTTCATCCATCTCATTAGAACTGATTTCAAACACATATATATGGACTTTAGAAAGATGGTAACGATAACCCTATATGCAAAACAGAAAAAGAGACTCAGATGTATAGAACAGACTTGTGGACTCTGGGAGAAGGCGAGGGTGGGATGTTTCAAGAGAACAGCATTGAAACATGTATATTATCTAGGGTGAAACAGATCACCAGCCCAGGTTGGATGCATGAGACAAGTGCTCGGGCCTGGTGCACTGGGAAGACCCAGAGGGATCGGGTGGAGAGGGAGGTGGGAGGGGGGACTGGGATGGGGAATACATGTAAATCCATGGCTAATTCATTTCGATGTATAACAAAAACTACTGTAATGATGTAAAGTAATTAGCCTCCAACTAATAAAAATAAATGGAAAAAAAAAAAAACACAATCTATGATCAGCCTTCTGCAGTTGTCCTGATCAATCACAAGTATTTTCTGAAATTGAATTATTTCAAATAGTACTGTGTCAGGCGTTCTGTAACTCCTTTACTTGAGTTTACAATCTATTGATGAACCAACATAAAGATATCAAAACAATTAGCAATGAATGTCAAAGAACAGTAAATAGATATTTAATTAGTTATTGATTAAACAATATTAAAATTAATATTTGATAAATATTATACAGTAAATAATTTAAACAGTAAATAATTACAAGTATTGTAGTAGTTGAGCTGTAAATTCAATTCTGAGTTTCTCAGCAGAAGTGAACATGATTATAAGAAAAGGGGAGAGATACCAGAGGAAGCAGTTTTTCCTTGTATTCAACTTCAAGAGATTGCAAAAGTGTTACTTTACAGAAGATAGAGTAAAAGATGCCCTCAGTGACATTCTCACAGCAGACACAAAAATGGAACCCAGTTGGCTTTATCTTTTTACTTCGCATAAAGCTGAGGGTCTAACATTGGAGGCGTGCGTGCTAAGTCACTTCAGTCATGTCTGACTCTACCATCCCATGGACTGTATCTCGCCAGGCTCCTCTGTCCATAGAGTTTTTTGGACAAGAATACTGGAGAGGGTTGCCATTTTCTGCTCAAGGAGATCTTCCTGACCTAGGGATCGAACTCAAGTCTCTTGCATCTCTTGCATTGGGAGGTGGATTCTTTACCACTGTGCCACCTGGGAAGACCACTTTGATGGGCACTTACATTTTAAGTTGATATTCTGCCTTTCTGGTTGAGGAAAAGGCCTCTGTGCTCTAAATCCCACCTCTGCACAAGGTTGGGCTGAGCCTCTTTGTTAAAATGGTGGCGCCAGATTACGACTGGACTCTGGGAAGGGTCGTGCCACCTGCCTGAGTTAGTGGGCTGAGAACCCTTGTTTTTACTGGCTGTTTTCATGCCCTTCCTGAACTCCCTATGGTACTAATCACCTATGTTTACAGGCACGTTTAATTGATAACCCACGACTCTACGGGGCTTTCCTGGAGGCTCAGTGGTAAAGAACTTTACCAATGCAGGAGACGCAGGTCTGATGCTTGGATGGGGAAGATCTCCTCAAGAAGGGAGTGGCGACCCACTCCAGTACTCTTGGCTGGGAAATCCCATTGACAGAGGAGCCTGTGGGCGACAGTCCATGGGGTCGCAAAGAGTCGGACATGACTTAGCGATTAAGCAACAATATCAAGACTCAACATGCGTGAGAAAACCGGAGTCTCAGGCAGGGCTTCTAGCCTGTCAGCCAAACTTTTACCCTGTCAGCCAAACCTGAGACCAAACATTTCGGTTTACCCTTGCAGCTAACTCAGGACCCCAGAGAGTGCAGGGACTCTCGCCCAGGAATTCTTGTTTCCCTAAGAATATTCCACAGCCTTGGAGAGTTACTTTCCCGCTGCCTTGAGTGGACAAGCTAGTACACTTCGTGTCAGACAAGGGAGGCCTGAGCGTGTGGAAAGTTCCGTCATCGGTGATGGGCGGGGCGAGGATTCCCAGTCTGAGCCTGTCAGCCGAAGGAGACCCCGGGGGCGTGGCTGCGCGGGGCGGTCCGGGGGGGGGCCTGGGCGTGCCCTGCGGCGTGCGCGGGGCTGGCGAGCGCGCGACGGGGGCGGGGCAGCAGCTGCGGGCCCACGCCGTAAACAGACAACATGGCGGTGGCGGCTGCCGCGGCACCTGGGGCCTTGGGCACCTTGCAGGCCGGCCGTGCCCGCTTGGTGGCCGCTTGCTGTGCGCGGCTAGGCCCCAGGTGGAGGCTGCCCGGTTCCTGGACGTGCTCGCGGGTCGACTCGACGATATGGGCCCGGGGCTGGACGCCCGCGGCCGGGGGAGCGGCCTGGCAGAGGGGCTACAGCGCAGAGGTTAAGACTGAGGACGAGCTGCGGGTGCGGTACCTGGAGGAGGAGAACCGAGGTGAGGGGTGTGACCCGGGTGACCGCGGGTCTTAGGAAAGGGTCTCAAGGCCGCATGTTCGGGCTGACGTCAGTGTCTACGGAGAGGCTAGAGGAGGGGTGTCCTCCCTTCCCCCACTCACGCTTTGCAGCTTTTAGTGCTTTCCATGCGTAAAGAGGGCTTCCCTGATAGCTCAGCTGGTAGAGAATCTGCCTGCAATGCGGGAGACCTGCTTCGATCTGTGGGTTCGATCCCTGGGTTGGGAAGATCCCCTGGAGGAGGGCATGGCAACCCACTCCAGTATTCTTCCTGGAGAATTCCATGGACAGAGTCTGAGGACGAGCTGCGGGTGCGGTACCTGGAGGAGGAGAACCGAGGTGAGGGGTGTGACCCGGGTGACCGCGGGTCTTAGGAAAGGGTCTCAAGGTCGCGTGTTCGGGCTGACGTCAGTGTCTACGGAGAGGCTCGAGGAGGGGTGTCCTCCCTTCCCCCACTCAAGCTTTGCAGCTTTTAGTGCTTTCCATGCGTAAAGAGGGCTTCCCTGGTAGCTCAGCTGGTAGAGAATCTGCCTGCAATGCGGGAGACCTGCTTCGATTTGTGGGTTCGATCCCTGGGTTGGGAAGATCCCCTGGAGGAGGGCATGGCAACCCACTCCAGTATTCTTCCCTGGAGAATTCCATGGACAGAGGAGCCTGGCGGGCTTCAGTCCCTGGGGTGGAAAAGAATCGGACACGACTAAGCAACTAAGCACATGCCTAAAGATGTACTGCGGAGCAGCTTACCTGCAAAAGAGGCCCTTGGCGCCAAAGACAGAAATGCAGCTTACGCTTTCATCTGTAATGAGCCAAGGTTAATAAACGGGTGAATGATATTTGCTTCCAGATTTCGTTCTTGCTCTGTAACTGCTTTCGGTTAACTCAGCTATGTAGGGGAGAGTTTTAGAAGCTGCAGTCAAAGTGCCCTTTATTAGAGTATTCGTCAATTTAAAGCTGTTCATCTGGAAAAAAAAATTTCCCTTTGTTCATTTTATCTTAGAAAGATAGTTTTGTGGACTATTTCACTTCGCAGTTAGACAATTTTGAGTATTTTCTTGGTTTTCCAGTTCCTTTGCTAAGCCTGGAGGAGACACAATTGGGGATGGTATTGATGTTGCCCTTGAGCTCCTTTAGTGGGAGGAGACAGATGCTTTAGCAAAATAGTACAGTGGGAGGAAGGGTTATGAGCCAGGGTGTGTGCCAGTCGGTAGGAATGCTGTTAAAGCCCAGCTCCTTTCACTTGCCTTGTTGGGAGAAGCTAAATGGATCATGAAAGGTGGAAATAGCAGTGTGCCAGAAGGGTAGTCTCTGAATTTTGACATGCAGTTATTGAGCACCTATAATCTGTTAAGCAGAAGTGCAAAACCAGTTAAGTCATGATTGATACCTTGAAGCTCCTAGTATAGTGAGAAAGATACTGGTGATTAAAAAAATTATGCTAACGTTAAAGGCTTGATGAGAGCAAAAGGTTGTAATACCCGAAATAGGTATATGATCGGCTATATTTGGTGAGATTGGAATATTCCAGAGGGGAGGTTCTGAGGGTCAAGTTAGGATTTTGCCAGATGTATATGCTGTCCAAGGCATTCCTTGCAATGGAATTTGACATTACTGAGGCAAATTTCTCTGTGCTTCAACTTTCTTGTGTGTAATATAGAAAAAGTAATACAGACTTTGTATGGCTGCTATGGAGACTAGATGGGAGTGTGATATTAATTGCCCACTAAGTATCAATCTAGCTCTCAGTGGGTGCTCTGAAGTATATGATGAGTTATTTCATTTATTTATTATTCCTGACAGAAGAGCATGGTTAAAGGCATGACATATGAACATGTATGGTGTTCTGGGGAAGTGACATAGGGCAAGTGTGGTTGTAGTATGGCATGACAGGTAGAATACTGAGAAATTCAATTGGAAAGTAGATTAGCACTGGAGTGACTAGAGCCGTGAATCCTCCCATCTTTTGGGTAAGCTTAGTCTTGTCAGGATTTCAGTTACATTAGGTGTACCAACAGTACATTAGATACAAAAGCATTGCAGGTACAGCTAGTAATATGCACCATATTCTGTATTTTTTTAACCTAAATAATGCACACTGAACATTAATTTTCATAAAATTTCTGAGAAGTCCTTCAGTTAGGTTTCAACTGGATGAAGGGGAAGAAATAAGAGTATAAATTCAGAATGTTTTCAGTCACTTGAAATGTAAAAATCAGCTATTAGTAAATACAGTTTTTTAAGAAAAGTGACCCGCTTCTTTTCAGGATTGGCCAGGTGACACCTAGTTTTGTCTAACATTATATATGCTTTGCTTTACTGTCAAACCAGCAATAAGCAGTGCAAAGAAAAACATCCTGGAAAGGCTGATGAAAGTGAAGGAGTCTCCATGGTGTCTTTGCGTCTCATTAGAGGCGAGTCCAAAATTTTGTCCTCTCAGTGGTCTGCAGGCAGTATGATGACTCTGCTAGGGGTCAGAGGAGCCTCAAACTGCTCTCTGCCCTGTCGGCCTTGTTAGGCTGCTGGAGGTAGGTAAGTGCAGAATATATCAGCTCTCATAGGTTTTCTGAGTTCCATATTTGTAATTGATTGCGGAAGCTCAGTTAGACACCAGCTTTCTTGAGTCGTTTCTTGCATTGTTGTCCAGCCTACTGAGCGTTTAGGGCAGTGGTACTGGTTATGGTTTACAAAGGTCTCTTCCTGGTTTCCTGCAGTGGCCTCTTTTATAGGTCTCCAGTCATTCTCCTTCCCAGTTCATTCTTTGCCTTGGTGCTGGAGTTATTTTTTCAAGGCCAAGCAAGAATTGCATCTCTGTTCATTTAGAAACCTCTAGTGGTCTCTAACAGAGAAGGCAGTGGTGACCCACTCCAGTACTCTTGCCTGGAAAATCCCATGGACAGAGGCGCCTGGTAGGCTGCAGTTCATGGGGTCGCGAAGAGTCGGGCACCACTGAGCAACTTCACTTTCACTTTTCATTTTCACCCATTGGAGAAGGAAATGGCAGCCTACTCCAGTGTTCTTGCCTGGAGAATCCCAGGGTCGGGGGAGCCTGGTGGGCTGCCGTCTATGGGGTCACGCAGAGTCGGACACGACTGAAGTGACTTAGCAGCAGCAGTGGTCTCTAATGTCTGTAGGCTCTCACACCTACAGATATTAACAGATCATTCATCTCCTTTCTGCTGCACCTAAGCCTTACCTTTTCCTGCTCTTATGTGTCAGTGCTTCTGCACACACCTTCTGGAATGACCTGTCTCCTGTCCCTACCAACCTTCTCCCAGTCCAGCAGATTTCTGCTCATAATTGTGACCCATTTTAAAAATAGTTTTTCTGAACTTTGTCCCAACTTCTGGCAGAAAGAGAACAAATAAGCAAATGCATAATGCAAGTTATTCTTAACTACCTGCTCCTTCCTCATCCATTCACATCTTCTGGAGTGTCTTTATAGTCCTTCCACTTTTCTCTGTGTTCTTTACCAGCACTATTCTTGTCCAAGCCTGTGTCACCTCTCAAGTGGATTGTTGCAGAGTTCAGCTAGCTTGCCTTCCTACTGTTGTAACAGATTGATTCCTTTCATGTTTTTCTCATGTTTCAAAAAATGTATTTTCATGTATTTTATGGTGTGTGAATTCTATCTGAATAAAGTTCTCGATTTAGATAGACATGTATATTTTAAAATTTTTATTGAGATAATTCACATTATAAAATTAAAAATGTACCATTGTTTTTAGTATATTTATAGAGTTATGCAACCATCACCATGATCTAGTTTTAGAACATTTTTATGACTCTAGAAAGAAACTATGTTTTCTTTAACAGTGACTCCCCATTTGGAGTGCTCCCTCTCCCTCCAAACTAAGACCCATTTGTCATCTACTTTCTGTCTCAGAAGATTTTTTTTTCCAACAACATACTTTATTTTAAAAAAATTATTTATTTTTAATTGGAGGATGATTGCTTTACAATATTGTGTTGGTTTCTGCCATGTATCAACATGAATCAGTCATAGGTATATGTATGTCCCCTCCCTCTTGAAACTCCCTCTAACCAATAGATTTTTCTGCTTTGGACATTTCACATAAAGAAATCATCTGTGGTTATTTATGGCTTTTTCACTTGGCAGTATGCTCTTATTCTCTTATGTTGTGACATGTATCAGTGCTTCGTTTCTTTTTATGACTGGATAGTGTTCCATTGTTTGGATAATTTTGTCTGTTCATTATTGATGTGCATTTGGATCATTTCCACTTTTTGAATCTTGTGAACGGCCCTGCTTAGAACATTTCTGTATAAATTTTTATGGATACCCTTTTTATTTCCACTTGGGAGTGCAATTGCTGGATCCTATGATTGTAATTTTATGATTAACATTTTGAGGAACTGCCAGTTTTCCAAAGTGCCTGCAGCATTTTCCATTTCCACCAGCAAAGTGTAAGGGTTCTAATTTCTTCATATGACCAATATTTGGGGTTTTGATTATAGCCACTGTGTGTGTTGTGAAGTGATATCTCAGTGTGGCTTTGATTTGGACTTAAGCTGGAGAAGGAAATGGCAACCCACTCCAGTACCCTTGCCTGGAAAATACCATGGACAGAGGAGCCTGGTAGGCTACAGTTCATGGGGTCGCAAAGAGTTGGACATGACTGAGTGACTTTACTTTCACTTTAATGGTTAAAGATGTTGACTATAAGGATCTTTTCACGTGCTTATTGTCCATGTGTATATCTTCTTTAGAGAAATGTCTTCTCAAATCCTTTTTAATGGGGTTGTTCTTTTGTTGTTGAATTGTAAGTGTTCTTTATATATTCTGGATACAAGTCCCTATTCAGATATATAACTTGAATATATTTTCTCCTGTTCTATGGGTTGTCTTTTCATCCTTGTTAATTTTGAAGAACCTAAGTTTTTAATTATGGCGTAGTACAATTTTCATGGACAGAGGAGTGTGGTAGGCTACAGTACTTGGACTTGCAAGAGTTGGACATGACTTAG